ATAAATGAAAGAAACTCGTCATCAGTGGCCTGACAAGCTTTTTTCTTTACAAAAAAGTCATCCAAATGACAAAAAAAAAAAACCTTGATCCGTGGCCTGATATATTTTTTTGACATAAAAAGGGTCATCATAGCTCCTAAAACTTTTTTAGTTGTGTTTTTTTTTGTCAATAGATTTTTCAGTGCTTTTGGAGACAATGGTATACTCTGGCAACCTGAACATTTTTTAAGGTCTTTTTATTCTGCATTGAAGATCCCTAGAATAAGAAGGTTTTTTTCCCAAGAAGAGCAGAAGGTCTTCTTCCCTATAAGGGCTCAAGGTCTTCTTACATAGAAGAAGAGAAGGTATTCCCTTCCAGAGGAACAGAAAGTCTTCTTTGCTAGAAGAGCAGAAGGTCTTCTTCTCCAGAAGAGAAGAAGGTCTTCTTCTCCAGAAGAGAAGAAGGTCTTCTTCTCCAGAAGAGAAGAAGGTCTTCTTCCAAAGATGATCAAAAGGTCTTCTTCACCAGAAGTGCAGAAAGTTTTCTTCCCCAGAAGAGCAGAAGGTCTTCTTATCCAGAAGAAAAGAAGGTCTTCTTCTCCAGAAGAGAAGGTCTTTTTCCTTAGAAGAGCAGACTGTCTTCTTCCAAATATGATCAAAAGGTCTTCTTCCCCAGAACAGCAGAAGGTGTTCTTCCCCAGGTACTCTTCCCAAGAAGAGCAGAAGTTCTTCTTCCCTATAAGGGCTGAGGGTCTTCTCACCTAGAAGAAGATAAGGTATTCCCTTCCAGATGAACAGAAGGTCTTCTTCGCTAGAAGAGCAGAGGGTCTTCTTCCCCAGAAGAGCAGAAGGTCTTCTTCCCCAGAATAGAAGAAGAGCAGAAGGTACTCTTCCCAAGAAGAGCAGAAGGTATTGTCCCCAAGAAGAGCAGAAGGTATTCTTCCCTATAAGGGCTGAGGGTCTTCTTACCTAGAAGAAGAGAAGGTATTCCCTTCTAGATTAACAGAAGGTCTTCTTCGCTAGAAGAACAGAAGGTCTTCTTCTCCAGAAGAGAAGGTATTTTTCCTTAGAAGAGCAGACTGTCTTCTACCAAATATGATCAAAAGGTCTTCTTCCCCAGAAGAGCAGAAGGTTTTCCTCCCCAGAAGAGCAGAAGGTGTTCTTCCCCAGAATAGAAGAAGAGAAGATGGTATTGTTCCCAAGAAGAGCAGATGGTCTTCCTTCCTAGAAGAACAGAAGGTCTTTTCCCCAAAAGAGCAGAATGTATTCTCTCCCAAAGGAACAGAAGAATAAAAGGTCTTCTTCCCCAGATGAACAGAAGGTCTTCTACTTGTATAGACACTCAGAAGATCCTCTTCTTGCTTAGATGAGCAGAAGGACTTCTTCCATAGAAGAGTTAAGGTCTTTTTCAGAAGAGCTAAAGGTCATCTGTAGATGAACATACGGTCTGCTTTTGTAAAAGGATAAAATCATTCCCAAGGTCCGCTGAGATATAATTTTTTTTTTCTTTAGAATGTCAGAAGCTCTTCTTCTAAAAAACACGGGAAGGTCTTTTTATCTAAAAGATTTTTTGGGTTCCTTCTTTATGAGACCAGGAGATCTTCCTCTGTAGACGGCTATACAGAACGTCTATATAGAACGTCTACTGCTGTAGAAGACCCGAAAGTTTTCTTACTTAGGAGACCAGGAGGTATTTGTCATTCTTATATTATTTTACTATAGAAGACCAGGATATATACTTCCAGAGGTGTAAGGTGTTCTTATGTAAAAGAAAAGAAGGCATACTTCTTCTATAGAAGAGCAGAAGTTCTTCTTATAGAAAAACCTCAAAAATTTCTTTTTGGGGCACAATCACGATGATAAATGTTTCTACTGAAAAATATTTTTAGATCCCCTGAGGACTTTTTTTTATAACAAAAATGTTCAGATTCCCGGAAGATGAATTTTTAAAAATAAGATTCTCTTAAAAGTTTTTTTTCTATAGGATAAAACTCAGAACATCCCTTGATATTTTTTAAAACTTATTCAGAATTATTATAGAAAAAAATTAGATGACATATGGAATTTTTCGTTTCAGGTCCACAGAGGCTAATTTTTCATTGTAGAAAATATGGTTCTTTCTGTCCTTCATATATAATTCCATCTGACATTTTGTGTTGAGGAAGGGTATGACAGCAGTAAAAACAATGTTATTGCAGAGTAACATTCCAGCTGCTGGATATCGGTCACATTTTTAGGGGAGATTGTTATCATGCAAGAAAAATACATTTTATATCACAAGAGAGTGGGAGAGAGTCGCAGTTGCTCTCTATCACAGTTAACATTTTCTATTATGAGATAAATTTGTTAACGCATGCCCATGGCGCCGCAGAGAGCAAGAAACAGATGGAGAGCGTATGATATTCAGCAACTCTGTTAACCGGCTAACGGTTACCGTTACCATTCTAACAGTGGCAATTTATTTGGCGCCAGAAATGTGTTTTAATTTTTTACGTTCTAGGCAAGGCACAGAGGAGAAGAAGAAGACAAAATCCTGCAGCAATACGATTTGCCTTTGCCGTCGGCAAAATGAATGGAGCGATGGATGTTTGGATCAGAGTTGTAAACTACTCAAAAAAAAAATGTCCTTTGAATTTGAAGCATGAAAAGGAAATCAAAATAAAAACAACAACAAATACAAGCACGAGAAGAATAAGGCAAACAACTTTGATAAGGTTATGTTGTTTGCCTTGATTTGGTTATGCTCTTTGGTTGTTAAATGAGTTGAATTGTTTGGGACAGGGTGGGGTAGGTTAGGGTAGGGTAGGGAAGGGGTTTCCCCAGTTGTTCCTTTTTTTTTTGCTTGGGTGTTGGAATTTTTTTCCATAGTTTGCTGCGTTTGCTTTAATGAAAAACTTTCTTATCATTGATGTTTGCTGTTGTTATTGCTGGTAAAGTTATTGTTTTGTGAGTGTCTGAGTAAGTGTGCGTGTGTGTGTGTTTGTATTATTATTTTATAACAACAAAAGGGACTTTGTTAACAACCACAAGTAAAGATAATTGTGCGACTACAATATGTAGATAATTATGCTTTGACTCCAATGAGGGGAGGGGTGCGAGGGGGGTTGGTTATTCAAGGGAATATTCGACAACAATGAAGATGGACCTCTTCACTGAATATTGCTGTGGGAATGCATCGCTGCCACGAAGATGCAGCTCACCCTCCTCCAACGTTGTTGTGGGAATGCATCCATCCTTTTGCATAGCTGTGCATGATTATGGGGTTTATTTACCGTTAATGTGTTTACATTTCCTGTTTCCCCATTCGGTATCTCTTATCGCAATTAAAATGCCAGTAAATGCACAAGCAAGACCAAACCAGACCAGCGAAGCCAACCAACCAGCCAGCCAGCAAGGACCATGGACTAAAAGATCCAACAATTGCTAGCTAGCTTGCCTTGTAAAGTAATGTTGCCGGTGTGGAATGACTGGATGGAGATATAAAAGAGCACCAGCTGGAATATTGCAGTTTGAATATTGTAGTCCGACTACACCACAAATAATTATTATTCCCTGTTCGCACTGGTGAGGACCTGTACATGACAACCAAATACGAACGCCATACAGACTGAGACTGACTGAAACAGACACTCACACACACATACACAAACAGAGTGCGCCAGCACCAAGTAGGCTCCCTTGGCCAACAATATTGTAGGAGTTAACCCTTATACAAGAGTGGAGGACAAATAGGTCTCCAAAGGCATACAGATTTCTTGCCTATAGAAGAAATACAACTCAGGATGCCTGAGGATTTTTTTTTTTCTTTTTAAAAACCGTACTCAGGAAACTTGAGGCAAAAAGCACATCTCAGTGGCCTGAGAATTGTTTTCTATAGAAAAACAGAACTCAGGGGACATAAGGAATCGTTGCTATAGAAAAACAGACCTCAGGAGACCTGAGGAATCTTTTCTATAGAAATCACATCTCAGGATGCCGGAACAATTTTTCTATAATAAACCTTACCACCGGAGAATTGAGGATTTTTTTTTATAAAAAACTCCTGTTTTTCTGTAGAAAAAATTCCCCTAAGATCTGTTTTTCTACAGAAAAAAATTCTTCAGGTCCTCTGAAGTCTGTTTTTCTATACAAAAAAAAAAAAATCCTCAAATCCCTTGAGGTCTGTTTTTCTATAGAAAAACAATCATCAGAAATTCTGAGGTCTGCTTTTCTATCAACAAAAATTCCTTAGGCACCCTGAGGTCAGTCGAGTCGGAACCCGTAAGATCTGTTTTTCTATAGAAAAAATACTCTGTTTCCAGAGGCCAGTTTTTCCATAAAAAATATAATTTTTTTCTGCAGGAAAAAAATCTCTGGGCCCTGAAGATGATTTTTTCTTCTTGTTATGTTTGTGGGATCTCAGGATGCCGCAACAATTTTTCTATAAAAAAACCTTACCATCGGAGAATTGATGATTTTTTATAAAAAAAAACTCCTGTTTTTCTATAAAAAATCCCCTGTTGTCTGTTTTTCTATAGAAAAAAAATCCTCAGGTCTTCTGAAGTCTGTTTTTCTATACAAAAAATTCCTCAGATCCCCTGAGGTCTGTTTTTCTATAGAAAATAATTTCTCAGATTCCCTGATTTCTGTTTTCCTATAAAAAGTCCTCAGGTTCCCTGAGGTCTGCTTTTCTATAAAAAAAACAATCATCAGAAATTCTGAGCTCTGCTTTTCTATCAACAAAAATTCCTTAGGCGGAACCCCTTAAGATCTGTTTTTCTATAGAAAAAAATACTCTGTTTCCTGAGGTAAGTTTTTTTCATAAAAAATATAATTTTTTTCGCAGGGAAAATTCTCTGCACCCTGGAGATGATTTTTTCTTCATCATGTTAGGTTTGTGGGTTAATAACGTCCTTTGGCCAAGAAGGATTGATGCTGTCTGCCTGACAGACGTTTTATGCATTCTCTTTGGTTCGCTGGTGTTACCCTACACCCCTTCTGTATCTTACACTACCATTATTGCTAGTATAAATTCAACTTACGTTTTAATCTTTGCGGCATCGGGACGAGTATCGCATTTAATGCCATAGTATGCCAACAATGCATCTTTATCAGTATCCCTAATGACATTGTCCGCCAACAAAACAATGCGTTCGAGAGCATTGCGCAATTTTTGATTATCTTCCTTTTGTTTATCCTCGGTACTTGAGCCGGAGCCAGTAGTGCCACTGGCACTGCCAGCCACTGATGATGTGGATGTTGATTCCTCCTGAGTTGTGGTGGTGGTGGCGGAAGATGCATCACCTCCTCCCGCTTGTTTGTTGTTGGCATTTAATGACTTGGCAAATGTAAACGGATATTGGGCCTTCAATTCGGATGATGATTCAATGTTCTGTATGAGCAGTAAATGAGCGGCCAAATGTTTGGGATGTCCAGCAATTATGTCCTCGTAGATTTTTTCAGCTTTTTCAAGATCTGTGTGACAAAAAGAAGAAGAATACGAAAAAATAGCAATGAAAATGAGTAATGAAAAACGGTGAGGATAAAAATGGAAATCAAAAATTAAACGCCATAAACAACCAGAAGAAATTAAAAAAAAAACGAAGACAAAGAACCGCAAAAGAGCTGAAAACCAGAGCTCATCTTATCATCCTTATAATCATCACCATCCTTGCCGTCGTTGTCGTTCGCATTCGCATTATTCTCATCATCATATTTTCCAGTCGTTGCCATTGTTGTTGTTATTGGATTGTCGGTATTTTAAAATTGCGTTCCAGCAGCAGCAGTAGGACCATCAACTTATTTCTGGTGCAATTATGCGGAATAAACCAATCCATGGCTATCACCAATTGGAAGGGTGGGCCGAAGCGTAAATTGACAATCAGGCTCGTGCCTGGTCTGTCTGTCTGTTTATCATGCTGAATGCCTAACCGACCGTGTGCCAGTCCGCCTGCCTGCTAACTTGTCAGACTATTCAAGCGTAACGTAGATTAAAAAACAAGCCAAAACCCCAACAACAACAAACACGAAAAAATGAGCCATAAAACAAAAGCAACAACACGAACAAAAAAATAAAAACGAAGTAATAATAATACGATATTAATTAAGTTGGCAAATGTTGAAAATCTTCCCTGGCGGCCTCGATAGACGCCTCTTCCATCCTTCGTCGTGGTCGTCTTTTTTTCTTTCTTTGTTTTCTTCTTCTTCTTTTTTGGATATTAAAATAATTTTCGTGGCAGTTGTATCCACTGATAGAATGAGTGATGACACTGTTGGTGACAATGGCAGATTTTCCCAACTTAATTTTTTCCACTTCTTTCCTTCACTGATTCGCATTCATTGCCAACAGCGGCAGCAGCAGCAATGACAGCCGTGCCGGGCCTCTCCTCCCTGTCCAACACCCCGTCACTCATGTTGTAACAATTCTTGTTGCACATTTAAATGAAATTCTCACACAGAAATTAAGTGGGCCGAATTTAATGAGGTTCGTTTTTTCATCATCTGCTTCAGATGCTTCTTCTTATTCACTTAAGCCTTAAATGTTAATTTTCAATTTATCTCCGAGGGAGGCTAAAACAAACAATGTCCTGTTTCAATTTTTTTTTTGTTTGTTCGTTCATTTTTGTCATGGATGTGAATGTGAATTAGGACCCGACGACGACAACAACGGATTTGGCAATGATATTTTGTTTTTGTTCAGATTGTAGATTTTATTTTCATTAGAACGTAGAAGCTGTCAGCAACAGGTTTTTAGGCAAAACGGTATTCAGTAATGGGGATTAAAAGAGGATGAACGAAAAAACTAAACAATTACTATAGAAAAATTTCTCAGGGGGTCTGAGACTTATTTTTTCTATAGAAAAACAGACCTCAGGGGACCTGAGGAATTTTTTTCTATAAAAAATAGACCTCAGGGGACCTGAGTAATTTTTTTCTATAGGAACCCAGACTTCAAGGGATCTGAGGATTTTTTTCTATAGAAAAACAGACCTCAAGGGACCTGAGGAATTTTTTTCCATAGAAAACCAGATTTCAAGGGACCTGAGGATTTTTTTTCTATAGAAAAACAGACTTCAAGGGACCTGTGGATTTTTTTCCCTCAGGGGACCTAAGGATTTTTTTCTATAGAAAAAACTGACCTCAGGGGACCTGCGACATTTTTTTCCTGAGGAATTTTTTACAATTTTTTTTAAACAGACCTCAGGGGACCGAGGAATTTTTTCTATAGAAAAACAGACCTGAGGACTTTTTTTTCCAATTTTCATCATCGGCTTTTTGGTAATACTCACCCAATTTGGTTAACATGGAACACTGGAAGTCCCTCAAACTTTCCGCGTACTCATCAGTGGAAGATTTGGATTTCTTGGGCGAACCTGGTGCAGTAGCATCACTTGCATTGGCTGAAGATGCTGCTGGTGGCGAAGTAGCACCACCTGCGGCCGTTTTCGATGACTTCGTATTGGCCGCATTTGAAGTGGAACCCGAGGAAGACCCACTGGACGAAGAACTACCATTTCCACCGGCACCGTTCTTCTTACCCATATCGGGAGGATTCAAAACATACGTAATTTCCTGTACATCCGCCTTGCGTCCCACCTCATCCTTGGCCAATGTAATGCTGCCACTCAACCAGGCGGCATTAGCTGGCAAATTAGCCTTTGACAGCTTGTCCTGTGCCAACGGAGCGATGTACAACACCTTCGGGCTGTCCTGTTTGACGGTGCAATAATTGAACTTGCGTCCGCCTATTACACACTGATTATATTGATCGTAAACATCGAGATTTATGCTATTCGGCAGCTTGAACAGGGCCACCATATTGGCCTCGTTGATTTTCTCCAACAGGTCACGTTTCTCGTGACGTATCTGCAGCCGGATGCAGTACTCGCCCTTGTCCAATTTGGTGTAGAATTTGTGCGAATTGGCGTCACCGCACGCCACCATATGCTTGTTGGCATCGAATATCATCCACAGCTGTGACTCGAACTCCGATTCGTAGAGGACGGAGTTGAAGATGGGCGCATAGATGGCCACCTCCATGGCCTTACTAACGTTCAGCGAATAGGTGAGGAGGTTCTGATAGATTTGCCTGCCCTCAGGGATGACATCACGTGTGGCACTTAACGGTGATATCTTGGCTTCATTGGGCTTAAGGACAACAGCTGCGGTTTTCAGCTGGACCACCGGTTGTAATTCTTCACTGACCAATGAGCTGATTTCCATTTGGCGGACACCTCGTGCGGCATGCATGATATCTGTTTGAAGAGAGATAGAAAAAAACGAAAGATTGAAAGATTATTTGTGGTTGATATGGGGCTTGGGAGATGGGAAACATCGCGTTCCCATTTATATGCATAACTATGTTTATTCTAACGAGTGGATGTGAGTGTGTGTGTCTGCTGGTGTAAGTGCATGGATGATTGTGGCTAATGGCGGTTTTGTGGTGCGGGTGAGTGAGTGGTGGTGCTGGTGAGCTTTAATGGAAAAGGATTTTCCATGATTTGCATTGGCCTGAGATCAGAACAAAAAAGCAACCACCACAGATATGTCTAACTACTAGATACTGTCGAACAAATGCCCGTGCATACATACAAACATACCACCGAACATAAACAAAATTGCAAGCCCTCTCAGGGCTTCTGTGTGTGTGTTAAAAACAAAATCAGTTTTAAAATGCATAAATCATTTGCTGGAGCATTTGATATATGTGAGTTTTTATTTATGCCACGAACGAACCAACAGACAAACGAACAAAAGGATTGAGAGGTATGTTCGGCGTTGCTGATTTTGTCGATTTTTTTTAGCTTTTTGAATATTATTTTTAACCTCCTTTACCCTACACAGCTGTATTTAGTAGATAAGCTTAAGGCAATTTAAAACATTTTTTGGGGAATCCCATTTATTTTTCGGTATTGAAAATTAATGCGAACAACAAAAGGCAAACTATCGGAAATTGTGTCAAGTGGTATTTATGATGCGCTACAAGTGTAGTTCGGGTTATTTGAATTCAATATATTCAATATATTAAATTTACTAAGGTTTTTCCTACGGAGTTATCCTTTCCTCTACAAGCCTCGTACGGAGTTCTCCTAATCTATAGAAGCTACCCACGGAGTTCTCCTTTTTTATAGAAGCGTCCTACGGAGTTCTGCTATCCTTACGGAGTTCACCTATACTATAGAGGCCTCCTGCGGAGTTCTCCTATGATATAGAGGCTTCCCATAGAGTTCTTCTATCATATATAAGCCTCCTAGGGAGGTATCCTATTCTATAGAATCCTCCTACGGAGTTCTCCCATCTTATAGAAGCCTCCTACAGAGTTCTCCTATCCTATAGAGTCCTATGCTATAGAAGCTTCCTATTAAGTTTTTCTGTTTTATAGAAGCGTCCTACGGAGTTCTGCTATCCTATAAAAGCATTCTAAGTAGTTCCCCTATTTTATAGAAGCCTCCTACAGAGCTCTCCTACCTAAGAAGCCTCCTACGCAGTTCTTCTATTTTATAGAAGCGTCCTACGGAGTTCTGCTATCGTATAGAAGCCTCCTAGGGAGGCAACCTATTCTATAGAATCCTGCTACGGAGTTCTCCCATCTTATAGAAGCCTCCTACAGAGTTCTCATAACCTATAGAGGCCTATGCTATAGAAGCTTCCTATTAAGTTCTTCTATTTTATAGAAGCGTCCTACAGAGTTCTGCTATCCTATAAAAACATCCTAAGCAGTTCTCCTATTTTATAGAAGCCTCCTACAGAGGTCTCCTACCTATAGAAACCTCTACGTAGTTGTACTATCCTTTACCTCCTACAAAGTTCTCCCATAATATGGAAACCTTTTACGGAGTTCTCCCATCCTATAGAAGCCTCCTATGGAGTTCTCTTATCGTACAGAAGTTTCTTACGGAGTTCTCTTATCCTATAAAAGCTCCCGATGGAAGTATCATATTCTATAGAAGCCTCCTTCGGAGTTCTACTATCCCACAGGAGCCTCCTACGGAGTTCTACTATCCTGTAGAAGTGTACTACAGAGTTATCACAGAGTTCTCCCATCCTTTAAAGCCTCCTACAGAGTTCTCGTATCCTATAGAAACCTCCTACGGAGTTCTACTATCCTATAGAAGTATCCTATGGAGTTCTCCTATCCTATAGAAACCTCCTATGGAGTTCTACTATCCTTTAAAAGCCTCCTACAAAGTTCTTCTATCCCATAGAAGCCTCCTACGCAGTTCTCCTATATTATAAAAGCTTCCTACGGGGATTTCCTATCCTAAAGAAGCCTTCTAGGGATGTCTTCTATCCCATAACAGCTTCCTCTATATTTATGAATAATTGCAATTTGTTTTCCTCTCTCTCTCTCTCTGTCTCTCTCTCTGAAAATCCAATTCCAAAAATCCAATTTCAAATTTAAACATTATCAAAAAATTTCAAACACTGAATTACAATAGAAATTTTGCCAATATAAGTAAATCCCCTTGTACTCCGCCTCTTACCTCTGCTGCCCGTGCCCATTCCTACACAACTAAACCACTAGTATTTGCAACAACGCAGCTAACAACAACAGCTCGTTATTCCCTTCAGCGATTGACAATTTTGTCATGAATTCGCTTCGGTTCGGTCGATGGGTCTTCTATCAGGAAAAATTGCCACCCTGTCCCCTGAAGGGTATCTAATATTCGCTAGTGCCCAATTTAACACCATTTTCCAGTTTAATTTCGACACTAGCAGTAGCAGCTTCTAGTTGTTTTTGTTTTTCCGATTGTTATTTTTTGGCTGGCTAGTTGACTGGCGGATTGGCTGGATAGCGGCGTTATCATGATTCCGTTTGTCGTTTTTTCCATTCGTTCTATCTTTGCGATTTTTTTAGCACATTTGTTATCCCCGTTAGTTTTGTTTGTGTTTGTCCGTCAGTCAGTCAGCCAGTCCGGGTTCGCATTCCGTATTTGTGATGCAGCAAATACGCCGCCTGGCTGCTACTGTTGTTGTCCCTGGCTCTCGGTAGGATAATTTAATGCCACCACGAGTGGTGGCATCATGATTTTTTATGATGTTTTTATTTTCGAACTCTGTTTTTCGGGTTTTTGTTGTTTTTGTTATTGTAACTATCTTTCTATTTTATTCTGATCCCTTTTATTCTCCTCCCAAAAAAAAACCTCGAAGTAAAAGAAAAATTATCTTTTGCATCATTGGAGTTAAGCGTGGCAACTGGCACACACATACATACAAACACACACGCCAACCACTGCTGCATGACCACAAATACACTTTTGCTCGGCAACATGCAAACGTGTGGAACTCTCAAAGAGCACTCATATGAGTATATATATATATATGTGTGTGTATGCCTGTTGTCCCTGCTTTTGTAATCACCAAATGCCGGCAGGAAACATCAGAAGAACACACAAAAAACGGGTCAGTAGTACTGTTCTGAAATTTCACCCAACCTCCATCTCCATATCGTGCATCAAACGACAATAACAACAACAGGCTAACCAGAGAACAGCTTCGCAGCAAAAAACGTGGCGATAAAAAACCCTCAATCATACAAACAAGAAAAGAGGACAATCGCAAGATAAAAAAAAAACTGGGGGCCACCAAGACTAGAATCTCACACACGATTTGTAATTTGAGCTTGGTCGCATCAACAGAAGTTGAGTAGCCTTTTGCCGTTTTAGTCATAACTATCTTCGAAGGATAACATTGTAACAGAGCTAGTCAAGTGAATAATGGAGGACAGTGGTAGGCATGGGGGGTGGATGTGACAACAGGCTCTTCACAATTTTTTTTTATAGAATAGAAGGAGTAGAAGTCTGCTATTTAATAGGTAGGCTTCAAAAGGAAAGGAGAAGTCGGTAGAAGGCTTCTATAGGATAGAAAAAATCCCTAGGAGGCTTATATAGGATAGAAAGGTTCACTGGGAGGCTTTTATAGGATAGAAAGGTTTCCTGGGAGGCTTCTATAGGATAGAGAGACTTCCTAGGAGGCTTCTATAGGATAGGAGACATCCGTAAGAGCCCACTATAGAATAGGAGAACTCCGTATGAGCCTTCCCTAGAATAGGAGATCTCTGTAAGAGGCTTCTATAGGATAGAAGAACTCCGTAAGAGGCCACGATAGAATAGGAGAACTACGAAGGAGGCTTTTATAGACTAGAAAAACACCTTACGAAGCTTCTATAGGATAGAGAGACTCTCTAGCAGCTTTCTGTAGGATAGGAGACCTCCGTATAAGGCTTTTATAGGATATGAGATTTCCGTAGGAGGCTTACATATGATAGGAGGCATCCGTAATATACCACTATAGAATAGTAGCAGGCTTCTGTAGGATAGAATAACTTCGTAGGATGCTTCTGGAGAATAGGGCAACTTCAAGATGCTTCTACAGGATAAAAGAACTCCGTAGGAGGCTTCTATAGGATAGAAGAACTCCGTATGAGGCTTCTGTAGGATAGAAGCACTCCGTTGGTGGCTTCTGTAGGATAGAAGTACTCCCTAGGAGGCTTCTATAGGATAGGAGCACTCACTAGGAAGCTTCTATAGAATAGAAGAACTTCGTAGAAAGCTCCTATAGAATAACAGACCTCCGTAGGATGCTTCTATAGTTCTATAGGATAAGAGACCCCTCGTAGGAGCACTCCGTAGGAGGCTTTTATAGAATAGAAGCATTCCGTAGGAGGCTTCTACAGAATAGAAGCTCTCCGTAGGATACTTCTATAGGGTAGGAGACCTCCGTAGGAGGCATCTATAGGATAGGAGGTGGCCTCCGAAGGATAGGAGACCTCCTTAGTTGACTTCCATCGAATAGGAGAACTCCGTATGAGGCCTCTATGGAAGCTTCTATAAATTATGCTATCAATTCCAACTTTATAATGGCACCTTCAAGAAATTTCGTAAAAAACTTGTCCTCCATGTATATAAATAACAATATTTCTCCTCCTCACCTCCCCCTCTTCCTTACCATTAGAAACGACTTTCACATAAGCAGCTATTATGAAATATTGCGAAAAATTCCCCAAGATGGCTTCAGATTTCAAACAAATAATTCAAATACCTGCCGCCACTCATCGGCAGGATTTTTAATGTTTTTTTCGTGAAATAAATAAATTTTAATATTTAAAAAAGAAAAAAAGTCGTCAACACCTGGCTGGACGTGTTGGTTTCATATTAAAGACAAATGGCCTTCGCTTGACAGCGACGGTGACAACACACCGACGCACACTCATACACAAACCGACAAACCCATAAATAAATAAAACAAAACAAAA